TTTAAGCAATCTCTACACCCCATGTGGGGATCGAAATTTCAACCTCAAGATCAAGAGTCACATGCTCTACCAACTGAGCCAGCCACACACCCCTCACCTTCATTTCTTTTTGATTTAAAAATTTATTTGCACATTCTTTGTCTCTTAAGCATTATCTATTGTGTATTGAATCTCATGATTATTCTTGGTTAGGTTTCCTTTCTGAAATAATTTATTTCTTTTACTTCAAATCGTTTCCTGATTTGTAAGTTTTTCTAATTCTGAATTTTTCTAATTCTGATATAAAATGTTATTTCACATTATCTTGGATATAATTTTTATGTTTTATAGGTATGGCTTTTTGGTAGCAAGCTTTTAGTGTCAACATTCTGCTCCTTATTTTCCCATTTCTTACGACATGGGATTTGACCCCAATCCTTTTCTGTTGTTCATTTTATAATAGGCTTTCCTGAACTTTTTGGAGCAAGAGGTTGGTCAGGATAGTTGTCTCCTTTACCGCCCTATCTATACCCCTTCCTCTGTTGATTTTTATGAAATGATAAGAAGTATTTGGCTTCCTGTGTTCTGAGATCTGTTTCATTAACCCACTTATATCTGGACCCTCCTTTTCTTTGCTTCATTGTGCCTGTGTTGCTCACTTGGTATTCTGCTCCCAGAAATTCTTTTCAGTTTAGGGCTTCGCCCATGAAGGGGGATTTCAGTCCTTAGTTTTTGAATCTAGAGCCTTACTTTTCCTACTTTATAGTATTGGTATATACAAAAGATCTTTTCCATTTGTAGCTATTCTCAGATTGCCTTTCGAGACTCTAGTGATTTGTGATTTGGGGTTTTTCTGGCTTCAAGTCCTTCATTTACCCTATTATATTACTTCGATCCTTCTGTTTCCTTCTATATATATGCTGATACCATGGGAGTCCTATAGTTGGCGATTTAACCAGATCCTGCTTGTATTTGAGAATTCAAGGAGATACCCTGTCACCCAATTTTGTAGATTTTGTCCTTGGGATTTTGGTTTGGCTGTCCTGGTAACATTTTTCCCTTTTTTGTGTGAGGTGGGAGATGGCAGGTGATTAAAAACTTCATTGAGAAGTTTTATTCAAGAGAAGGACAACACAAGTACACTAGCTATTGTGGTGAACCAGGTGAGATGATAGTGGCTTAGTCTAGGATAATGGCAGTGGAGCTAGAAGGTTTGAATCCTATTTTGGTGACTTGTTGGATAACAAAGAGTGAGAGACTGCGTAGACATGGATGATCTCCCAGGATAGGGGTTCTTACAACTGTTTGGATGATGGTACTTTTTCCTAATATTGGGAATATTCATGGAAGAGTAATTTTTTAGGGGGAAGGTATTTTTTTGAGAGGTGAGGAGTAAAGGGACAAGAGGGACCAGCTATTACGATATTTGTAAGCATCCTGGATGTGAGGCCTTGCAACAATCTATCCTCTACCCCCAAACACACATACAGACATATTTAATTTCTTCAGGGAGCTTTTTCCTGATTCTCTGATATGTCTCCTTCTGATATAGAACTTTATTTACTTTCCTATCTTAACATTTAACACATTTGTATTACTGCTTATTAATCCTATGTTTTTTACTAGACCAGCTGTTCACAAACTTTTTCTTAAAAGGACAAACAGATGGTAAATATTGAAGGTTTTGGGAGCCAAGAGACAAAAAAAAAAGATATTATGGGGCACCTGGGTGGCTCAGTTGGTCAAGCATCTGACTTTGGCTCAGGTCATGATCTCAGGGTCCGTGGGCTCGAGCCCCATGTTGGAGTCTGTGCTGACAGCTCAGAGCCTGGAGTCTGCTTTGGATTCTGTGTCTCCCTCTCTCTGCCCCTGCTCATACTCTGTCTCTCGCTTTCTCTCAAAAGTAAATAAACATTACAAAAAATTTAAAAATAAAAAAATAAGGATATTATGTGGATACTTAGTATCATTTATGATATAACCACTTAAAAGTATAAAACCATTCCTGTCGGGGCCTACAAAAAAACAGACAGCAATCAGATTTGGGCCATAGGCTGTAGTTTGCTGACCACTGTACTAGGCTGTAAATTCTATACTTGTCCTAGTTGCAGGCATATTGCCTGGTGCGTTTTAGATGAATTCAGTAAATTTTTGTTGAGTGAGTGAATATTATTCTTACAGATTGGAGCTCAGGCAAGGGGGTTGAGCTAAAGATAGATATTTTGAGAGTGGTCATCAAACAGAAATTGAAGACATGAGAGTAGATGCCATCAACTTCAGAAGAATGAAAGAAAGAGGCCCAAAGTGGAGCCTCTTCTGTAATTCAGAGAACGGAACAAGTCATGACTAACTCAATGGTACTTTCATCGTGTACATAGTAGTCAGTACCTGTGGCTAACTGACCTAAGCCATTTGGCTATTTTACATACATATGGTTCTTTTGGATGAGTAGGAGGCCTTTAACTATTAGAGATAGGTGAGATAATATATGTATTTTCCTTAGAAATTTTACTACCAGTGTGTTACGTTATAATAAAACAAGCTTTAGAATTCTGCCACTTACACAAACACGTATTAGCAAGCAGTTACCACCTTGCAGTAAAACTTCATCTGTAAGCATACACCATAAAGAACTGATTAGGGTTAGGTGACAAAATCCTCCTAGAAGGTGTGGGATATAGGATCAAAGGGATTCAAAAACCTCTCTGAAGACAGACTGCAGGGCTTTCCAGATTCTTAAACTGCAAACAAGTAAGAATCAAGGCACCTGCACAACATTCCTAACCAGTCTGTATATCTTGAACAATTCCATTTTGGCAATAAAAAGCTATTTCCAATATCTCTTTTATACTAATTAACAAACCACTCCCTAAATTCAGATGTTGGTATTCGAAGCACTTATTAACTGGGAGCTAACTTCTGATATGGGTGCTTTAAATGCTAGCTAACCCACTGTGAAGTGTGGATTCTTAATTTAGGGAACTTCAGAAGTTGACTCACTACTCCTATGGATCCTGAAGTATTTTGATGTGAATTACAATATAGCATTAACTTGATCATATTTTTTAAGGGATATGTTGCCTGGATCTTTTTTGTTGTATTCCTATCATAACAGTTCATAAACAAGTGTAGTTGTTATTGCAATTAAAATATTAAAATATTTTTTTCTAATAAAATAAGATAAAAACAGGGAGGCAAACCATAGACATTCTTAATTATAGACAACAAACCAAGGGTTGCTGGAGAGGAGGTAGGTAGGGGGAAGTAGGCTAATTGGGTGATGGGCATTAAGGCGGGCACTTGTGATAAGCACTAGGTGTTATATGTAAGTGATGAATCACTAAATTCTACTCCTGAAACCAATTAAAAAAAAAAAAAAGATATTTTTTTCTTCTCCGTTCCAGTAACAGTTGAATTAGATATTCATGTAGGCAAATAAATTTTAACAGCAGTATAGTTCTAATCTTCAGTGAATCAAGACAATTTAGAGTTATCAAATTAATATTAGTATTTGAAGATTGCTCAACATTTATTACCATTCTTTATGATAAATATATGAAGCAGTCTGTGTATTAAGCAGTCTCTATATTAATACTATTAAAGTCAAAACACAGAAACATAGTATAGAATTAGATTCAAGGCTGTCTTTCTACTGTTGAACCCTAATAGTTATAATAATTTTATCAGTGCATCATTTTATTACATTAAATGAATGCTACTAATTTGAATTTTGTTTGGCAGTTTTGTTTACATTTAATATATATCTATATTTAAGCATAAGTTTAGATTAATATTTCGGTATATCTAGCAAACTTTATAATTTGATTTTCATGGGGTTTCTCCCCAAAGTAGAATTTATCACTGCAATTTAAGAAAACTTGACAGCGATACCATACAAAAGAATTATCAAATAAAATAGTAGCATACTGAGTCTGGCAATATATTATAATAATATACCATGACCATGTAACCTTTATGTAGCCTTTATTCCAAAACTGTAAGGATTTTACATACTTACATATGTAATAAAATAATTCATTGTATCAGCATATCAAGGGAGAGAGGGGATATCTAATCATTTCAGTCATTCCTGATAAGACATGGCTGATGGAGCCTCTCAGTAAACTTCAAAGGATACTTCTTTGGGGGCACCTGGGTGGCTCAATCCATTCCGATTCTTGATTTCGTCTCAGGTCATGACCTCATGGTTCTGAGATTGAGCCCCATGTCAGCATGGAGCCTGCTTGGGATTCTCTCTCCCTTTTTCTCTGCCCTTCTCCTGTCTGTGTGCTCTCTCTCTCAAAACAAATAAACATTTAAAAAAAAAAGGATACTTGTTTGCCTTTTGATACAAAATATCTATCCCAAATTTATTTTCCTTTTCATGTGGTTTCAAGGCCATGACAATGAGTTCTTTACTTTTTTAAAACATGAATCATTTGAGATAGATTTAATTGGTTGTAAACAACAAAAACCAACTCTGGCTGATTTAAGGAAAAACAATTTTTTGGAAACATATGGGTAGTTCATAGAATGAGTAGCAACACCTAAGAACTGGGAATAGAACCTACTCTTTTTTTTTTCCTTTCCACTTTGCTCAGGGTTCAGAGTTATGAGGGAGAGTTCTGCTGGCATGGTTTTGGTCTCATGCCCTATTCAAAACGAGGACAGAGTGAGATACTTTAATAGGCAGTTCCATCAGGGCAGTCTACAGCAGAGGATATATAATTCCACAGAGAAACCTGGGTGCAGTTAGGAAAGGGGAATGGATTCTAGGCAGCCAAGCCCCACCTCATGTTCCCCCCAAAATTAACCAACAGATAACCAGTAAAATAGACAGGAGTTTTGGCTTTTTAACCTCCTGTATTTCATTCAAAGTCTAAAACTGACCAATCCTTAACCCTTAAAGAGCAATTACTTCTAAAAAATTTTTTAAATATTAAATGCCTAAGACCTTAACGTATCTACTAGCAGTGTCAATATTTAGGTACTTAAATATTCTTTATTTTTCTTTTTAGACAATGCGAAGACACCGAAATGAAGTGACAGTTGAACTGCGAAAGGTAAGAAAGTAAAGTAACAGAAACAGAAAGTAAATAGGAGATTTTTCTGATTTTTAAAATTCTGTATGACTTGAATAATGAAAATACTGTGCAAATTAGTGATCACCCCTAAACCACACAGCATATACATCATTAAATAGTTTATAATGGTATATATTGAAAGCTTTCATTTATTGAGGTGCTATGTACTGTGTGAAGTACTTTAATGCCAGCATTGAAATTGTCACATCTGATGAAATTAGATTCTCTTGTGGGTTTTTCCTTAATATCCTCTTTTTTTTAGGCTATGTGCCAGACAAGATTCCTCCACCTTCTTCGTGTAAAAGTTATACATACTTGTTCAAGATTCTTTAGAAAAATAAAAGTAGAATAACCTTATATCTTACCAATTAAATGCAACTGCTGTTAAACTTTATTGTATTTTCATCTATTTTTTTTGGAGGACTTTAGAGTTACCTTTATGATACTGTGTTTTCATGCAAGCACATTTTATTTGAAGCAAATATTTCAGTTGCCAATCAAGAAAATACACATAATTGGGCACCTAGGTAGGTTAGTTGGCTAAGCATCCAACTCTTGGTTTTGGCTCAGGTTCATGAGTATGAGCCCCGCATTGGACACTGTGCTGACAATGAGGAGCCTGCTTGGGATTCTCTGTCTCTCTCTCTCTCTCTCTTTCTCTCTCTCTCTTTCTCTCTCTCTCTGCCCCTCCCCCACTTGTGCCGTCTCTGTCTCGAAATAAATAAAATAAAAACTTAAAAAAGAATACACATAACTAGTTCTCTATATTATGTGTACATTTAAAAAAATATTTTTTGGAACTTATATTCAAATCTTTGTGTTTGTTTTAGGTTAGATCCTTTTCTTCACTCCTGAAATTCCTAAATTAAAATTATCATCTTAAAATTTTTCAGTTTTAAAGAGAGGGAAAGTCTTGATTCTGAGAGTAACACTCTCCCAGTCACTAAAACTAAATAGACCTGTGCATTTATGTACTTAATATGTATTTATTTAATACCCATTTTGGGTCATGCATTTTTACCCAGCATCAATGGTTTATGCTCATAAATAGTATATAGTTACTGAAATTCATTCTCCTGCAACCCCTCCCCCCAATCTTTATTACAATTGAAAAATGCTTGCTAAATCCAGTGTTATTTCAACTCCTTAACCTCTTCAAAGATACTTACCAATTAACAACAGTGATTTGGCAATTATATTTTCAAGTTTTTTCACGTCCTTGGTTCATTTGGACCAGAGAAGTCAACTAGCTAAATAAAGAGTGAGGTAGGCTCCTTGCCAGTCTGAACACTTTGTACCTAGCTTCTTTTTTTTTTTTTTCTTTTCTTTTAAACTTTTTGTTAGCATATAACATACATAGAAAAAAGTCAGGGGCGCCCGGGTGGCTCAGTTGGTTGAGCGTCCGACTTCGGCTCAGGTCATGATCTCACAGTTCGTGAGTTTGAGCCCCACATCGGGCTCTGTGCTGACAGCTCACAGCCTGGAGACTGCTTTAGATTCTGTGTCTCCCTCTCTCTCTGCCCCATCCCCACTCATACTCTGTCTCTCTCTGTCTTAAAAATAAATAAAACATTAAAAAAATTTTTTTTAATAAAAAAAAAGTCAACACATCTTAAGCTTGATGAGTTTTCACAAAGTGAACTGTTATACAGTTATCTGTATAATAAGCTTCTGGATCAAGAAAGAACATTACTTGTATTCCAAGGCTCCTTCCAAGTTACTCCTTTTCCCCAAGGGTAACCATTATCCTGATATTTAATATTATAGATTATTTTGCATAGTTTGAACTTTATGTAAATAGAACAGTAAGTGTCCTTTTGTGTCTGGTTTTTCATTCATCATGTGAAGATCATTCTTCTTAATAGAGACAGTAGGAATGGTAGGAATAAAACATCTGTTAACATTATACCAGCTATCCCCAGATGTGGGCCTTTACTTTCCCTTAAATTTTCATGCTTGGAATACAACTCAAAACTTTCATATTGGTCCTGGTATTATTCAGAATCCTCCTCTTGTTTTAAGCTTTTTAGCCCTTCAAATATGCTTATTAATTTAAGCTATTCACTTGTCTTAATATTTGGTTGTTTGTTCCTTCTTCTATAGTTGTACTGTCTTCTGTATTTAATTTATAGAATTAAAATTTCTTGCTTGTCACAGTACATCTTTTTTAATATCCACTTTGTTTGCCTTAGAGTCCTCTTATTCTTTTTATTCCTAAAAAAGAATTATTCCTTTCCGGTTACTAGAATTAGTTCCTAGAAATTCTTATAGAAGGACCAAAAATGAAATTAATTAAGGAAATCTCAAGAAATTTCCTTACTTCACATTTCAGAATTCCCTGAGTAAGCCCCAGAATGTGAACAGTTCCTGAAACAAAGCCTAAACTTCAAACAAAGCTTAATTGATTTTGATACCATTCTGTAGAGGTATGGAGAGCCCTTCAAGAGAAGATTCCTTTATTCTTTATGGTCAGAGTGTCTATCTACTTCTAGCCTTGCTATCTCTATAGCTCCATTAAGGAGAAAATCACAGCATTGTCGTTAATGACATTGAGATTCTTGTTAATACAAGAAAGCTAGTTTCCAGAGTTTCATAGATGAGCTCTATTTTTATTGGATTGTAATCATCTTAAGTGAAGGTAATAACCACACTCCCCCACTGCTAGTACTCCCAAATCTCTCTCCCAGCCCATCCCTAAATGCCTAGTCAAATTCTGGACCAATAGTTCATACTCATTAAATGCTAATTTTCAAGAATGAAATTGATTATGATATGTTAAAATTTTCTGTGTATTTAAATAATTTCTTGAATTTTCAAGAAAAAATACTATAGCTACAGAGCAGTGCTACTCAAAAGTCCTAATCTGTGACAAGTTAGGGAGCTTATGTCAAAATACTAAACAAGGGACTGACTGCTTCCTTTTCCAAAAAAATCCTTCTGCCTAAATAAATAAATAATGTAAATAAACAATGTGTATAGTTTGACAATCGATTTCTGGCAAAATCTCCATATTTTGGGGCAGACCTGTAACATAGAGTTTGAGAAAATCTTAGCCAGTCCAAGGACTGTACTTTGTTTTTTGGTTTTTTTTTTTTATGTTTATTTATTCTTGAGACAGAGACAGAGCATGAACAGGGGAGGGGCAGAGAGAGAGGGAGACACAGAATCTGAAACAGGCTCCAGGCTCTGAGCTGCCAGCACAGAGCCCGATGCAGGGCTCGAACCCACGAACTGTGAGATCATGACCTGAGCTGAAGTCGGATGCTTAACTGACTGAGCCACCCAGGCGCCCCTAAGGACTATACTTTGAATAACATTGATACTGCTCTGTCAGATTAAAGATGAATTCTAGTTATTAATATGTAGTGTTTTACTGGCCTCAAATTTTTTTTCTCTGAACTTTTTTGCCTTTACCTCCTTGATATTTTACTTTCCTATTTAATTAGGTACTTATGCATCAACACTTACACAGAGGTCTGTACTTCTGTTTTAGATCATGTTGTAAACAGAGTCACATAGGAATTAAATAACTTGCCTAAAATCACACAGCTGATAAATGGGAAAGCTCTTAACCATTATGCTATAATGCCTCTCAATATAAATGTTTGTTCAGTGAATAATGCCTCATGAGTTGAAAATCCATCCAAAGCCTATCACTGGCATTTTTAACTTTGGCAAATTATATTAAACTTTATATAATCTTCTCTTGGTGACTTATCAGTTAGATATCCCATAGGATTTTATTGTCATTAGATCTGGGGGTGGGGCACATTAAGTTCTTAACATAATGAAAACCACCACCAAAATGCCATACTTTCACTAATCAGATACAGTATAATTGTTTTGTTTGACCTTTTAGTAAAATATCTTTTTTAAAAAAACCCTAAGTTCCCTATATTAACAAGATAATAAAGAAAATTTATATTATCATATCAGTTGATACAGAAAAAGCATTTGACAAAAACCAACACTCATTCTTGATAAAACTCTTGATACATTGCAGATAGAACTTGCTCAACTTTTTTTCAATTTTATTTTTTATTTTTAAAAGAGAGCACAAGCTGGGGAAGGGCAGAGAGAGAGGGAGACACAGAATCTGAAGCAGGCTCCAGGCTTCAGGCTGTCGGCAAAGAGCCCAACCCGGAGTTCAAACTCGTGAACCATGAGATCATGACCTGAGCCAAAGTTGGATGCTTAACCGACTGAGCCACCCAGGTGCCCCTAGAACTTGATCAACTTGATAAAGAACATCTGCAAAAAAACCTACAGCTAACATCATACTTAATGGTGAAAAGACTGAATGGTTTCCCCCTAAGATCTGAGAACAAGGCAGGATGCCTATTCTTACTGCTCTTATTTAATATAGAATCTGCAAAAAAGCTCCTAGAATTAATAATTGAGTTCAGCAAAGTCACAGAAACAAGATTAACATGTAAAAGTCTATCACTTATATATGCTAACAATGAACATGCAGAAACCAAAATTAAAAGCACAATACCATTTATAGCCACTCTGAAGAAAATAAAATACTTTGTTATACATTAACAAAACATGTATAGGATATGTATGGTGAATATTATAAAATGCTGATGGAAGAAATCAAGTAAGACTTAAGTAAATGGAGAGATGTATACTGTGGTCATGAACTGGAAAATTCATCATAGTAAAGATGCCTATTCTCTGATCTATTGGTTTAATGGAGTTTTTATCAAAATCCCACCAAAGTCTTTTTGTAGACCAGACCAGCTTATTCGGAAATGTATATGGAAAGGCACAGACTCTACAAACCTAAAACAATCCTGACAAAGAATAACATAGAAGCAATTGCTCTACCCAATATTAAGGCTCTTGGACACATTTATCAATGGAACAGAAGATAAAACCCAGAAACAAATCCACACAAATACACTCAAGTTACTTTTAGCAGGTGCGAAACCAATTCAATGGAGGAAGAATATCGTTTTTAGCAAATGGTACTA